GACTGCTTTCCAAATGGTTACTCACTTTTTTTTTTTTTTTTTTTGCTGCGCAGATCCGGAGGGGGAGAAGAAAAAAAAAGAAAGCGCTGTTATTCTTAATGTTAAATCTCAACCGGCTTCTATTATCCAACACCTTCGTTTTGTGATCACAGGATGAACATGACTTGGCTGTGTAAACACAAGAGCAAGGCTCCCTCCTGAGCTGTCAAGGAAAGAGGGGGAAAAAAATCCTTCCCAAGAGCTAGCGATTGGGAATTGTAACATTTTGGAAGCAGAAGATTCCCATTGGGTTAATGTTTCTACTTATAAAGTTTTTCTTTGCGGATTGTTCATGGAATCCATTTTGGAAGAATGGTCAGACTGTGGTTTTGGGATGTATGTAAGGTTGTTTCGATGGGTAAAATCAAAGACATATGTCCTTATTTGTAAAGAACTTTGATTGTATGATGAGGAGAAGACAAAAGTTACAGCAGTGGATAAAATACTGTAGGTTTTTCTCAGGTTTTGTACTATCAAATCAAACAAGGTTGTTTTTTTTTACTCAGTGTAGTCCATATTGCCACACAAAGTTCACATCAAAATAAAATCAAAATCTGAAGCAGTGATTTAGTTTTTAGATGTATATCGGACATATTCAAAGGATATTAACACTTTTTTAAAATGGCCGCCTGAAGTTTAAATCTATTTCCTGTCATTGTTACATTCCAATAGATATCAAGAGGTTTTTACTGTTTTATTTCCATTTTCCCATCCCATATGATCTTTGTCAGTATCTTTGACCTGCAATGGCATTAGATGAACAGTAAATGTGAGGCATATTTGGAATAAACAATACAAAGGGCAACAGCTTCCAAAAGTTTAACATGTTGTGTGGTAACAGCCTTTTTTCATGAGTCTTTATTTTGTTGCTTTATTCCAGTTTATTCAGGTTAAGAACATTTGTTTTTATTTTAGAAATCTTTTCCTTTTCAAGGTGTGCATAGATTTGTTATTGGTACAGGCAGATTTTTGGTTGTACACTTTTTAAACCAGTTTATCCCATACCAACCCCCATAAAGTTAGTTTAAAAGTTTATCAAATAGTTCCAGTAATGAAATGAAAGGAAGCTTTTGGACTGAGGTAACAACAAAAAAGCTGCTCTTCTAACTACTTCTATCCATGGTTCATCTGTCAACCTCACACAAAAGAGAGCGAACTTCTCTCGGTTGACCTAAGAACCATGTAAAGGTTCAGGCTAGCTGAAACGCACCAAAGGCCACAGGATTTAAAGGTTTAAAATAAGCTGAGTCAAGAGAGTTCTGGGAGTTAGGATACATTCAATGAGTCATTATTCTTTGACAGCAGCAATACAGAGTTTCCATTGCCTTGATTTAATGTGACCAAAAACCAATTCAATTCTCAGAAAAAACCCTGAAAATCTTTAACCAAACCAAATGGGGGTTGGGGGGGTGAGCATAGGTTCTCTTTTGCCCCACGTTTTATCCGAACATCCAGCCATGGCTGTTGTGGTCAAACGTTTTCACTTCAATGACTTTCCACAAAAGAAACAATCCCTATTAAAATTCCTGAGAGTAGAGTCTGTGGATTATCCAGACTAACAAGAATGTTGTTTGTGAGGGAAAAAAAAGTTCCTGCAGTTGGAAAACACTAACCTTTTGGGGGGGGGTTTCTCTTCGATAACCATATCAAATCCAACACCCCCCTTTTTTTAATAGGTGGGATGTACAAAACAAAATGCATGCAACAGATGTTTAATTTGTCCCAAGTTATTCCAGCAATCCCTTGACCGGTGTGGGTCATTTGAATTCACACTTTTATTCTTTTTGGCCGATGTGCTGTCGCTAAAGTTGAAGTGGAACCGAATTCGGGTTGTTGATAGACGTGAATCGAGGCAGCTGTTTTTGTCCTCAAGTAAGAGCAGCGAGAGGGAAGCGCAGAGGCTCCCTAAAATAAACAAGCTATCTGTGTAGCCCCGGGGCCGGGTCAGGGTCACACTCCACGCTGCTTGCGCTACACAAATCCCAAGCACAGCATCTCAGCTCCTCGCCGGGCTGAGAACAGAGCTTTAATACCAGGGAATACAGTTCAGGGTTCACTGTAAATACCTGCAAATTCAAATTGCAATTAATTAAACCCGTGACATTTAAAACTTAGATGCAAAGCTTGGTGACAGTTATATTTCCCCTTTGCACGGATTCAATGCTGAAATTATGCACGGGCCTGATATAGCAAAACCTGAATTCGTTTGCTCCGGCATAGCTCAGCAGATTACCGGAGTCGGCCAGTAATATCCAAGTCAAAGTCTCTCCGATATGACTCCCGCAGCCTGGTTTGTGTTTAGAACCCCGGGCTGCAGGGTTTACTCCCTTTGAAGTGCCTGATGTCTACTCTAACAAACAGACCCTCTGAGCTGCATAGCTGCGTGCTTCTAAACCGATAAAAGTTTCAAATTGTATTTTACTCATGATAAAGGGTCTCTTTCCTTGTATTCACAAGGAAAAAAAATGTGGCGCCCATGTGACCCAGCCCAATTTACTGTGAGTTATCTCAGGGAGCTCTTTAGGTCTGAATAGGAACCTCCTACCCCCTACGTGTAGGCAACAGTTAATAAAACTGTCTTATTACTGTGTTATTACTGTGTTATTAACGTTACGTCTATGGTGTTAAAATGTTGAATATCAGATTTTTTTTGTTTGTCTAATTCAGCATTTGTTTGAACAGTTTTATTAGAGGCAAATGTTTACATTGTGATCTATTCTAACTTAAAGGTCAGATCTGACCAGATTATTTGACTGCTCGTGAGGGGTAACGACAACAGGATGGATTTTCAGCAGGAATGCAATAGCCTCTTGTTCTGAGAAATAGTTATTTGTCTCGGTGTTGGCTCTGTCCTCACTGAAGCCTCGCTGAATCGCATCTAATGAAGTCAGGCATTAACTGTACAAGCTGGCCTTAAGTTCTCAGCGGACCGAAAGGGAGGTCGGGAGATGTGACAGAATACTCACGTTGTTTCATTGTGAATATTATTGTTATCAGAATTGTTCAGAAGCGGTTGGGCTGACTGATCTGCAACAAAAGTTGACCTTTTCACGCCCCCATCATACGGATACTCACCTTAGTATCCACACTGGGTTGGGCCTTTTGGATCTAAAGACTTGAAATTTTGAAATTTTGGGGTCTATAACATTTGACTCTGCAGAGTCAAAAGTCAAAAGTCCCTCAACATTTGTTTACTTTTTTGTTAGATTGAATGTGTTCATATTTAAATCCTTTTCATATCAGGACCCCTGTGAATCCGCAAGTATATTAAAAGACAAACATGGGATATTACACATTATAAGGCTTTAAACATCAGCACTCATATAAAAATTACGCATTTACTCAAAAAAAGACAATAGTTTTCAACAGATTCTCTTTTGTTCCTCATCCACACCACTTTGCTACCATAAATTTAAACTTAGCCCTTAATGATATGGTAGCTAACTACAGATTCCAAAAGAGATTGCAGCAAGGAGACTTTAATAGCTTCTCGGCCTCCACAATAAGCTTTAATTACAGTCGGTATGAATATTGTTTTGAAAGGATCATTTCTCATCTGGCTGTAATGAAAACGTGTTGGAGGTGGGCCGGGATAAAGCGGGACTTCGCATCCAGCCATCTCTTCCATTTCAGGAAGAGGCTTTCCCCCCCAGAGGAACAATCGGTCTCTGAGGGCCGGACGCCTCTGCAGGCGTGTGGCTCGCCACCAGCCGCCGGTTCAAGGGACAGCTGTGTAACGCAGCAGTGTTTGGCCCCTCGCCCTGAGACGGCAGCTGCCGTAAACAAACAGCGCTGCAAAAACTGCTGGCCCAGTCCCCTGCTCTTTTCAAGACGCTTCAAGGGAGCTCCACTGAACTCCAGCCAGTCGAGTCCCATGTCTAAATGGCTTTTTAGACGGTAGGGCCGGTACAGAACTGAACAAAAGAAGTAAGGATAAGGAAAATGTGGCCGCCGGGCACTTTACTTGGCCCTGAGTATATGTTCTGTACTCCCTGAATTCACAAACTGTTCACAAACAGATTTGAGACTTTTAAGTGAAAGCTGGTAGCTTCTACAAAATGATGTGGTAGCGGTTCTCCAAATAGATCTGAAAGCGTATGCTAGTTATTTTTGTTTTTCTAAATTGTTTTCCAATGTCCCTCTATTTTCTTTAACCCCTCCACCGCTGCAAAAGCTAAGGAAGCTATAAAGGAATTGTTGCAAGTTATTTGTGAAGAGTTTATGGTCAAATCTCATTAAAGCATGTGGGTTGGAGTATAGCCAAGTTAGCTATCCTTGATATGATTAAAGGTAATGGCATTTAACGTATGAAATGTAGATGTAATGACGAGTTTGTCCTAGAAAAAAAATAGAGGTTCTGATTGAGCTGGAAGACCCAATTCATTGTCAAAGTGTTGGCAAGCCAGCAACAGAAGAACACTGACACTCTTATTGGGTCTTCTTATTCATATACTACAAGACAGAGAGGTGAGCTGTTTAGGCATCATACAGATTTACCTGCCTTTTAAATCTGTATTCTTTACAAAAAACTAATCTAAACTACCTAAATTGGGTCGTGCATAACCCAGAGTGTTGAACTAGTCCTTCAAACTGATCTATTTTCAGTTTGTTTATAAAGCATGTTTCCCCTGCTTTTCACGTCACGTGATGTTTATAGGTTAACCTTTTGTGTCGGACCCTTCCAAGAACTATGTGGACACACAAACCTGGTCCGTCTTCGGGCTTCGTATTATGGCAATATGGGCACTTCAAAGAGTAGCCAAGATAAGCCCGAAGTACCTGTTGATGTTGTAGTGACTGAGCTCATCTTCTTTCAGAGGGATCATACTTTCCTATAGTTCCATTCTACTTTGTCACACAACACTTGAGTTACTTTAATCCCCTGGAAGTTACATTATTTCCCTTTGATACGTCACATCCTATAACTTTTTTCTTTTTGCTTATCATGAACACAACAACGATTTACATTAAATAAATGACCCTTTATTCCCACTTTTTACACAGACATATACGTTTTAAGTACAGGGTATAACTGCAAAACACAATATGAAGTTTTTCATGACCAAAGGATGGATAAACGTGCAGTGCTCGTTTTGCCTTGGACTCAATACTCCCGTCTCATTACTTCCGACTTGTGCTGCTACTGGAAGAATAACCCACCCGGGCTGCTCTCTGAGAACTTAATGGAGCCTGATAGACGCATTACCTCGAATTACATTTTGGAACTGAGCCTACTACACAGTTTTCCTCCAGTACATATCACCGCTTTTACTTTGAGAAACACTTTTACAGTCAAGGTTTTCAAGATAACTACCGCGACAATATAATATATATCTCCTTTGGACCTACAGCCTATATTATTATTACTGCTGCATTTGTATGGCAAAAGTCCGTCTTTAACTAGGGGAATAAAACTACTGATTACAAGCATTCTTAACATTTTTAAAGGTAAATCTATAAATGACTAAATCAACCATATTAGTATAGTCATTTTCAAAATGACTCTTTTAGCTATATAAGGAGTGATTATGTATTAAACTGTTTATAAGACAATAATTGTTCCTTATAAATCTATAAATTGTCAAAATCACAGTCAAAGTCTGTCATTCTGCACAAGATGTACTTCCACTGCCGATCTCTGAAACAAAAGGGCAAGGGAAAGAAAAATAAAGTCAGTTCAGTAACTGTAAATGAACAGTCCTTTTGTTTTTTTCAAGTTCTTATATGATCTACTAGAAATGTTTTAGTGACTTTGCCCTGCTTTGATTTCTTCTTGAATTCAAATTGCTTGAATACATCAGACAATATACACAAAAAAAATAGTATAGAGAAACTTTTGGACAAACCTCAGAACTCCACTGAAGGTGGTCTGGGCACCTCGGATAAAGTATCCATAACCTGGTACAACCATCTCCCCCTCATCTTTGTAGTAATTAGGAATGTCAGTGGTCTTCCTGTATATGGGAGGAATTGATTGGTTAGTCCTTTACAGAGATAAGGTCTACTATATAACCTTTATCAGTGCATCCCCATTCATTCTCATTGAATCTATCCGTTCAGTATTAAGTTTCTGCCAAGAAATAGGACGTTTATGTGAGCGCATAAAAGAAGGAAGAAAACGTTCAGCCAGCCTCCAAAGATCCTTTTGTGTGTGTTTTACTGCCTACATGTGGGAGTTGTGAACTCTCTGTTCCAACATGGTAGGTCTTGTAAGTAAATCAGAATTTATTTACACTTACAAGGTCACAAATAATAAAAGCGGGACTTGAATAGCTAGCAAGAACTCCTATGAAAGAATTTTAAAGGAAGGTTCACACGTGCGCAGGGGAGTATAATTCTTGGCAAAGCTCTGTAACTTTTTCTCAAATTTTTACCAGCCTCTGGTTAAAACCAGAGATGGTTGTTTTTATACTTGAAGTGTGATCAAAACAGAATGCTGACCGGCTTATTGTTTCGTCTCGATTTGAGACTGATTTTCATTTTGATCATCCATCAACTACCAACAACAAAGTAAAAAAAATCCCAGGCTGTGTATTCAACGTGGCCATAGAACCTCGAGATCTTACATGCAGGAGTAGGGACAGCGGCGTTTGTAGTAGCAGCAGTAAAACTGCCATTCGCGGTCGAGAACGGATTCAAAGTACTTGCTCTGAACACCTGCCACGAGGCCATTGCGCGTGCACGTGGATGTCCTGCAAAGACAAGAATAACAAGTTGCATTGACTTAAAACTGTTATTTCTCTTTGTTTAAACATTAACCCTAAGCTTTTAGTTTTAGAGGAAGACTTCAGTCATTGAATGATGTAGCTTGTTCATGGCTCATTCACTAGCCTGGTACCATTACACATGCGAAAATACAATATCCAAGCAGCAGGGAGTGGAGCATGTGGATATGTGTAGACATGGCAACATGAACACAATCTGAAGCCATTCAGCCATTTAGATGGATCCCCGCTGGGCAGTGTCCCACCCAGACAGGCAGACATAGCAATGATAAAAAAATCAAGTGTTTGCAGTCCAACAAGTGGCCTGAGTACAGGGTATTTTCTCAAAGTAAATCAAAATCGCACAAACGTGTTGCGCTCTCCAAACCACAAGAAGTCGTCTGGAGCAAAATGTTAGGCTACAATTCTTCATCCGAGTAGGTTTTCTAAAGGTTGAGCCAAATCCCTTAATTATATCAGCCTTCCAGTGAAGCTAATTGTTAGTCAGATGAGTTTAAGTGAGGTTGTGGAACTTGGGATGGGCTAAAATGAAACGTCGCGGATGTGAAATTAAGGGCTGACACGAGATTTATTTTTTCTCGTTAAGTGAATTCTTATCTACTGACTGCATCTCTCAAAGATCAATGGCATAGCACCATTTTCTTTCTATTTCTTCAACTTCTTGCAAAAGTTCAGGAAAAGGCTTAAACATGTGGCCTATAAACTTTAATGTGATCTCCCGGAAGGACCACGCACAAAGCCTGTTGGATTAATCTTGTCCAAAATGAAGCCATATCGCTGTCTCCAGAGTGAGACTGTGATTCATTCTGGCCCTGAAGGACCTGGCTTTGTTCCACTGAATGAAAAACCATTGGACAGAGTTCAGACTTTTGTGACAGTAAAGATGCAAACGTTTTGGAATTTAGCCAATATTATAATTCTGTGTATAGAAAAAAAAAAATAATTGGGGTAAGCTTTTTAAATATACAAAATATTTAACGTTAGCGCTGGGTTTGTGAATAGCTACCATATATAGTTTCAACATTTAATTTTTCAATATTTGAAAGACATTCTGTTACATAATCTTGAATAAAAATATTTTTCATGTACTGTTACTTAATCCTAGGCGATGCATATGTTAGCTTGCTAATGCTATGTTTTGTCAATGTTAGCTAGTTAACAGTTAGCTATGCTGTCACTTAAAAGCTGAAAAAGTATAAACAAAAATTATTCTTTGCACAAAAATAGATTCAGTTGTGTAACCTGTCTTCTGTTAGAGAACAAAAATATGTTCTTATCATAACAGCAGACTGGGGAATTATTCAAGGATTTTTTGTTGATTTTATTGCTTAATATATTTGCACATAATTGTAATACTGCCAACACAAAGATTGTTGAATGAAAAACTTATGTGAAGAAATCTGAATTTAGGGAGGCCAAATGTCATTTAACAATAGCTATGTCATATCAGTAAGATCTTCAAGAATTTATCTCGGGTTGAAACAGGTTGAAAAATGTGTTTACAAGCCTGTTCTGTAATTGTCTTGTGTTTGCTTTTCGTTGCTAGGTTTTAAACAGAAACAATTGGATTCTCTGCTTTTCTGAATTGCGAGAGAGTTGAGATCTGCTTGAGACAAACAAAAATTTTGCTTAATGATAAAAAACTTTGACAACATTCTACTCTGTTTTTTAAAAAAAACATGCTTCAAGCTTCTGTATTTCACCATTTAACAGCTGTATTTCACCGTTTAACAGCTGTGATGCTTCGGCTTTAGCCCCGAAGAAGACAAAGGAATCAGGTAACAGGTGGCAAGAGGCAAAGTAAAACACTGACAAGAGAAAGTTAGACCCACCACTCCATCCCGGCACGGTTGATGTCGTCCCACCAGCAGTCGCTGGGCTCGCCCAGGGTCTCAGGTGTGGGCTGGCACTCGAAGGCCCACATGCGGTCCGAGCCGTCCGTTTCACTGAAGTAGCTCCTGATGGCTACGAGGGCCTCTCCGTGGGGACACTGGAAGTTGAAGCTCTGGCGGTAGCCGTTGACCCAGCCCATGTCATAATGGTCTTGAGACTGAGCGCTCGCCGAGGCCAGCAAAGAACAGGCGAACGCAACCAGAGCAGGATTCATGTCGAAGAGATCAGCCCGTCTGCTGTTCTCCCTCACAGCTGCCTCACTTTAAACTCCTCCGAGCTCTTTGTTGTCCAGATGTTTGGTATCCAGGAGGTGATGTGTAATTTGCTGGTCCGGGACAAATCCAAAAAAGTGGTCCTCACGGTACATTTTAAGGTCGACTTTGAGAGAGAGCATTAACAAAGTCTTTATGCAGATGAGGGTTTACCTTAAGAGACAGCTCTTTCAGGTTACAAGTGATTCAAATATTTATATGATGCCTTGTCTGATTTCAGAATGCTTTCACGTGGTAACCATCTGAGTGCGTGTGTGGCTTTCTTTCCTGTGGGAACAGTTTGATTACATATCGAGCTACTTTGTTGCCTATTCTGTCCTACAGGTTTCCAACGTCTGCAAAAAAAAAAGAATATATTGTCTTCATTAAGCAGCTTTTCCCCCCCTTCCTTTTTCTTTCTCGTTTTTTTTTTTTTTTGGCACAAGTTCCCATCTTGCAATAGGAAAGTTGGCACACACACACACAGGTTACTGACCCGAAACCAAGAATACTTTGCACCTTCCAGTTTTCTTATCGAGCAGATAAAATAGTGTTACATTTCAAAAGAAGACTAATGCTGGTTGCCAGTAAAGAAGTGAAGTTGCAAGACATGTAAAGCTTTGAATATGTTGCCATAAGATATAGGCCTGTTTAAGAATTAGCAGGTTTTCCAACTCAATTAAAATTGGTTATGTGAATGAACAACACAGATTACATTGTAACATAGTCTTGTAGGTCACTTTATATATTTCCAGTATGCTGGTATAGTTTTTCTATAGCACAATAGTATTGTGATAGCCTGCCTCACCGGGTAACATCCACATTTCACCACCATTATGTTTTATCTTTAATTTGCCTCATGGTCACCACATAAAACTTTTCTAGATAACTCAAAACATTATTTCTTTCACTACTTGTCTCACTCTAAAATGTTGATTATCGAGAGCAGACACGTCTACTCTGCCATCTTATATTTTTATAATAATGAAGTTTTCTTCTCTTTTGGGTTACAGGGATTTGGCTTCTCCTTCCTGGTGCAGCAAAAGACTGACAAAGGGCTGAGGGTTAAAAAACTGAGCCACATGCTGAGTGGTCAAAATGGGATTTCTTGTTTATTAAGTCATTTTCCTTTGGGTGGGAATGCAGCCCACATTTTCTTTTCCCCTTTTTGTCTCATATGGTTCAGCTAAAGAAGTATTTAATAAGTTTGGGTAGAAAGGTCATGTGGGTTTGTTATGTTCATTCTTTTGTTTGAGGTTTTCTAAAGTTCTGGTTCTGAGTTCAGTTAAGCCTGTTTAATTGAACATTTTAAAATGGTACATATAAGCTATAGCCTGTATTCTTATACTAACTGAAGCCACCAAAATAAATTACATCCAAGAAGTATCGTGTCAGATTGGACCTACCACTGTCTCAGTTTTACTGGGGACCAGCAAATATGTTACACAGAAATTCAAGCCACCTAAAAAAGAGAGAATCATTCAAAGAAATACTTGTCGTATTTTTATACGAAATAATGTAAATAACGCACATGAATGATGATCAACTTCCCAGTTGCGAGCCTACTTATTGCCTAAACCTGACCAGGAAGTGATAAAACTAAGGTCAATGGCGTCATTTTGAGTTAAAGAAACATTTAGAAACCTACATGCTTTTATTGTGACTTTGGAGAGATGTCACGTTTCTTCCACTGAACTTTTTGGTCTTGAACATGCCTTTAAAATTTTACAGCTTGTCAAGCTTGTGGAAGGTGGTGTGGTGAAGGGAAATATATAGTTACAAGTCCCAGAAAGGGAAACACAGGAAGTAAACAAGGAAATTGGTGAAAACTAACTTATTTACAAAAAGGCAAAGCAGAAGCTAGATATAGAATAAACTAGACTGTGAAAAAAAACAACAAAAAAACAAGTTTTAACAAAAACAAAGAACACAATGGGAGTATGAAGGGAACGCGGCAAAACAAGACGAGAGAGTTATGACCAAATTTAACACGAGAATCTGGCAAAGAATGACATGAATGAGAAGCTGAGTGTGTTATTAGTGAATTGGAAGCAGGGGACTGAGAAATTTAGGTGCAGGAAGTCGAGTGATGAGGGGAAAAGGAGGGACCTGAGGGAAGTGAAGTAAACTGAGTAGCGCAAGGTGAAACAGGAAGACAAGACCGACGCCAAAATAAAATGTAACTATTGAAATAAAACACAGGTACTAACACGGGAGAAAACAGAACTAAGAAACAAAACCAAAATTCAGGTCATGACACAGCTAGCTACTTTTGCCATTATGCCTATCTGTGGAGCACTCTTCAGTTAGACATTTCTTGACATGATTGCATCCATTAAAACAGCATAACAATGAATATTCTCACAAAATATCACGTCACAGGTTGGGAATGAAACTTCTTACCCTGTGTTTTTACAAAGTTTTTTAGTTTTTTTTTACTGTGTGGCATGAATATTTTATCTGAAATAATAATCATTTAGCTTTGATTGTTCATGAGAAAAATCTGTTGGATCACGATGAAACCATTCCTCAAAGCATCTAAAAACAAACAACAGCCCGAGTTAAAGAAAGGAACGTGTTAGTCGCTGCAACAAGAGTTCCACAAACTTCAAAATGGAGCAGATATAGGAGATATTTTTAGACCACTGTCTATTTTAAAGTCTCTATTTAGAGCAGTCCTGTTGAGAATGTAGGGCTACACTCACGATACTTTGATCTGACTGTGACGTCCGGGCTTCGCTGGCAGCCAGTCCTGCAGCTGAGAGCTGAGTGTCAACATGTGGACGAGCCAGCTGAGATTTGGAGTCCCCAGAAAACACCTGGAGTTAGACGAAGCTGATTTAACAAAAGGAAAATAGATTGACTCTACAGATTCTTAATGTACAGCTTTAGAAGGCGTGGGATGAGTGTAATGTGAGCGTGTTGATTTTTCACGTAGTCCATTGATGGCGAGGTGAATGAAAATAACAAAGTCAGGACACCTTTGTGTCAGATGTATATAAATGAATACCAGCCCCATCTAAAGTAAATACTTGGGAGCTGCAGTGCACATCTGCTTTTCATCATTTCTAACCCTTTGCTCACACATTGCTGGCCCCATGCTAACATTAGCCTGTGTCTGCATCGCAGATATATGTTTTCACACTTTCCTCTGTGGGCAGCACAGCAGTTTGGGGGTTAGCGCTATTACCTCATGCTAAGAGGGTTCCCTTTTCGAATCCAGGATGAGGGCCTTTCTGTGTGGAGTTCGTAGGTTTTCCCCGTGTATGTGTGCGTTTTCTCCGGGCCCAGCTTCCTCCCACTGTAACAAAACATTTATGTTTGATTCATTAGTGACTCCAATTTGACCCCACAGTGTACCTGTTTGCCTGTGTGTGCGGGGCTCCATGATAGACCCATGGTGTACCCCTAATCCCACCCAATGATATCTTACACAGGCTTGCCTCTGATCCTACCTGGAATATTTAGGTGTACAAAAATGTATCGCCTCCAAGCCAAAGTACATCTTGGACAAACTAAGTAAATACCGGGCAGTTATGGAATTACGTTACTGATCAGGCCAAAAAAATAAATGAATAGAATAGAAGTATTTGGCTCTGTTTGGAGAAGAATCCAGCCATCCATCTGGACAAAATACCTGCACACACATTTGCACTCAAATCTGAGGCACCATCCACATGTGCATGGGTGTTAGCAAAAAATTTGCTTCAGCATTTCTTGCTTGTTGCATGTTCTCCCTGTGTTTGCTTGGGTTCTCTTCAGGTAGTCCAGCTTCCTCCCACCATCCAAAATAATACATTGTAGGTCAATTGGATTTTACAAATTGCCCCTAGGGGTGATTTTGAGTGTGTGTGGTTGTTTCTGTGTATGTATTTCCTTTGTTTTGGTGAAAAGCTGTGGGTACCTAACTATCCAAATGAGTCCCAGTGTATTTGTTGAAGATGATTACCACTGTGTGACAGCCAAAAGACACAAGGTGACTTTCAGTGCGGTGTTTGCTTTTCCACTTCCACCAGAGATGAGTGGTGATTAATTAACTGGTTCTGTGTTTAGAGTATCGAGAAAATGTGCTAAATATTCAGAAATTTATGAGGTATAATAGTCCGTTTGTACACCAAAACATCCATCTCTCGGTATGTTCTGGCTTCTTTCCCCTTGTCATCTTTCTCTACCTCTCTCTGTTCCTGTGATCATGTAGATTTCCATTTTTGAAACTACACATAAAGCCTGTTTAAAAAAAATCCAATATGCTAAATGTCAGTGGAGTTTGTTGTGAGGTAAATGATCTAATTTGATGAGTCGGCACCGGATAACTAACTGCATTAATGAAAAGGTCATTAAAATACCAACCAGCTAGCTCCAAACACTGTAATTGTGGGTTTGATCTATATATACAGCTGTAATTTACTGAGGGTTTCACATGATCTTCTGTCAGTTATCTTCAAATGAACTGGAATCCTGTCGTTATTTATTTACGGGCCGCTGATTTACTATAAATCTCATTTCGATGTGGTGGCTGTTCATCACAGCATTATTGCAAGTCGCTTGCTTCATGCTTGTCTGCAATCCTTACGCAACTTGTATCGCTCTTAAAAGCATGAAAAATGATCAACATAACCGTCTTTGACTGTCTGAATCAGGAGTAGTTTAAAAAAAAACATCAAAACAAACTATCAAAACTCATTTAATGTGAGCGTCTCAAGCTGTAATTACGCATGAATAGCATGATACTTCGGCTCTAAAAACACAACTGTCTCTGGTATGCGGGGTAACACAACTGCTATTGTGAGCATGTCAGAGGGTCACTCAGCAGGGTCCGCTTTCTCATACAACCTTTCTGTTTAATAGTGCTTCACTGATGAAATTAAGGGGCTGGCCAAAAGGCCACCGTAATAACGTTGGAGAAAACAAATCAGTTTGCTTTAGGCTCTTACCTCATTAGGGCAATGCTTCGTGGCTTCTTGGAGGATGCGTCCGAGCCACGGTTATAGAAGCAGGCCGCCCCGAGATAAGCTTCCCTGACAGCAGCGATAAAGGGAGAGGCAGAATGACTGTCTAGAAAATAATCATGTCCAAAGCGTTTCAGACACCCTCTTCTTATTTATTTGCGTATACTGATGCCACACTGTCCCCCCCTCCGGCTTCAAGGTTATCTGGAACGACATGAGAAGGGAAAGATGTTCAATTAATTGTAAAAGTGACACCGGTAACACATTTGAATATTACTTTCTCAGTGAAGGTGAGACAAATACCAAACGCAGACATATTCATATGTAAATTTCTTTGTTTTCGTCCTGCCCGTATCTGTGTTTCATACTTGGAGGCTGTGGCTTACAAACTGAGGAAATATATTAGTTCAGCTTCAAAAGCTGCGCGGCCCAGTAACTCATCTCCTCTGACATACCCCGAGAAGTGGGACTACCAGAGCGAGA